CCTTTCATATGTAAAGATCTTATATTCATTCACAGATTCTTGAAACAAAATCCCTGTAACTGATCTATTCCATCCAGATAGGGATATGCCAGGTCATTGAAGTTCATAATAGCAAGTTTGTGTTTAATACATCAAAAATCTTCAGTACAATGAAGGACGTACAGAATTCACATTTTCTGTATATAGTATGTGCTGTGTGGGCCTTGCAGATTATCAAATGATCTCATTTGGCAAAGAGGCAAAACCAATATCCGCTCAGTGGGATTTTCATGTGAATTATTTGTAAACCCAAGTAGCTTAAAACAAATTAAATGTTAATGATGTAAGCTGAGTTATATTGGGAGAATCTGCTGGTTTGTAAAATACACACTCTCTCAGTCAAAACCAACTAACTGCCTGTGACGTCTCTAAGCTACAGCTGCGGCTTGTGCTTTAAAATAACCATAATCATTTAATCTTGAGTTAACCCTGGTTTATTAGTATGCAGCACATATGTAACGCTGAAGGTTTTTGAATAATTCCTCTATCCACAGACACTTGCCTTTTTTTAGTAATACTATGATAATGCAATGTTTTCTTTCAAAGACTATTTAAAAAATACTATCATTTAATATTGTTTACATGGAATCAAAGTTATCATGGTATGTAATCGTAAAACAGTGCAGTTAATGGGTATTAAAAGGGAGTAAAGCAATTATTTATATTATTTTTAATATTTTTATTAAAATTATTGTAAGACATTTATTTATTTAGTTAGTTAGTTTGTTTGTTTTATCAAACTTCCTTAATAATACCGCACGATGGCGACATTTATTCACTTATTTATTATAGATATGTTTCAGTCAGTATAATAGGTTTGACTGGTGTAATTTTTTACATTGATCATTTTCATTATGAGCACCAAGAGTAGCCTATAAGTTATTAGTATAAGGTAAAGTATTATTCAAACACAAATGAAAATGGACATTAAAGAAGGAACAGATCAAAGCACTTCTGACCTCTTTGAAAAGCTCAAATAAAAAGACTTTCATCTTTCTAACGTCAGTCAACGCGGATGATGACGTCACCATTTCAAAGCGCGCGTGTCCCTTTGAACAAGTGTCATCAAAGTTATTTCTTTATTCTTCAGACCTAATAAGATAAACTTCATTCAATATAAACTATACAACTTTATCCAGTATAAACTAACCAGATTAACGTAGCATAATATTTGTGCCCACAACTGAGATTATAATTGTACATAAACAGTTTTATTGAAATTGTAAATGTATATAAGTCTTAAAACCATTAACGTATACATTTACATAAATCTGCTTGCATAATCAAAATAATGATTATTTATTTATTAGGCTAAATTAAAACAAAATACAATTCAAAATAAAATACAATTCAAAATGTAGTCAAACGTTTTAAAAAGTGTTATATATACAAAATAGAAATTTGTATCATGCTACTTTATATGAAACATATTAAACTATTTCTGTAATGTCATTAAACTGTATAAAATCAATAATCTGATACAGGCCACTAATTTCCACCAAAGTTTTGAAGTGTGATCAACAAACATTCGTAAGTATCATCGCAGGTGAATTTCAATTGTCAGGTTAAAAGGGTTTAAGGATCTTCAAAGTGGATCTTCAAAAGTTAATTTCCTTCGACTTCAACCTTTACAAAGAGGTGTTAATGGACCAATATTAAATGCATTAGGCTAATACCTTAGTTAAAACGATACAGGGGGTACAAATACAACTCCCCAGCTCCATGTCATTATTGAGAGAGCAAGAGTAGGCCTACACAGTCACAGCAGCTTCTGTAGGCCCCTACTTGAACATGGCAACTCAGAAATTTTCAAACTTCTCTATTGATTACATCTTGGGAGACGCCAGCAAACAAACAGCAGAATCACCTGGACTTGATCATCCAGCATCTTCTCAGGATTTCCCAGGACACTCGACCAAACTGGACCTGCTCTACCAGGATGGATCTAGAGGTCATGGTGACCATGCAGCAGCAGTGCTGATGAACTTTCCATCTCCATCATGGAATGCAGGAATGTACAGCTGCTGTGTTCCAGTCTCCTATTATCAACCGCCTTTTAATTCACATTACTATGCAGCTCAACCGTGGCCTTTTGCCGTGTCAGGTATGCATTTTTCTTTCTTTCTTTTTTCTTCATTTTGTTAACTTTAACTTTAATGTATTTATTTCTTAAAACTACCTTCAGGTTGTGGTACAGCGGAGAATCACTGCCACCAAACTGTAGCTCAGAGACAGCGCAGTCGAATCCGAACGGTTTTCACCGAGAACCAGACGGAGACGCTCGAGCGGCTCTTCGCAATCACCGACTATCCGAGCGCTGAAACCCGGGAGGAGTTAGCCAAAAACACCGGCCTCAGCGAGGAGACTGTGAGGGTAAGAAAGCGCTCTTTATCTGTTGCCTAATGATATTTCATACTTTGCGCTGAAATATATCAGAACATAAACTAACTCAAATCCATTGTAACGTTTTTTAACGTCATTTCTAACGTTTAGGCCTATATCTGAAAATAAAATGACTAAAATGTATATATATTCTTAATTGTAGGTCTGGTTCAAGAATCGACGTGCACGTAGAAAGAGACAGACAACCTGCCCCGACAAAAGCACGAGCACGAGGAGCGCTCCAGAGGATCATCCTGAATCAGATTAATTTATGACTGAATTATATCAACACAGACTGCTTTTAGGCATTGTTTTTAAAAGTACACTTTTGTTTACAGTGTAAAAATAGGCCTATGTAGACATTTTATACGAATAAACACCTTTCTCAGCGAAATAAACTTGTTTCGTTTATTTGTTCATATTTTAATTATGGTGCTGTTGTTGGAGTACGTGATTTGAAGAAGCTAAATATTTTCACGAAATATATTTAATTTAGCTCCTATCTTATTTGCGCCGTCTTTGATGCGCATGCGCGCCGGCATACGTTGATTTCGTCCCTTCGTCTATGGTATGGAAGCCCGATTCCGCCACTGATTAAAAAATAAAAAAGCTAATAGCGACTTTTTATCTAACAATTCTGGGGGGGGGGAAGGTCAGAATTGCGAGTTTGTAACAGGCAATTCTGAGACAAAAAGTCAGAATTGCGTGATGTAAACTAGATAAAAGATATAAATTAGCAATTCTGACTTCGCAATTGTATGGAAGCCCATTTCCGCCACTGAATAAAAAATACAAGAGGTAATTGCGACTTTTTATCTCACAATTCTGACTTTTTTTCTCAGAATTGCGTGATATAAACTCGCAATTGCGAGTTAAAAAGTCATAATTGAGAGATATAAACTCGCAATTCTGAGAAATAAAGTCAGAATTGTGTGATATAAACTCGCAATTGCAATTCTGAGAAATAAAGTCAGAACTGCCAGACATAATTTTTTCAATTTTTCACAATTTTTTCTCAGAAAATCGCATATTCTGAGAACATATCAGTCTCCCCCCCCCCCCCCCAAAAATTTCTTTTAACTGCAAATTTGGGGTTTATATCCCATTTTTACTTTT